GGACTCCTGGGTCTAAGGTGGCAGATGGCTGATGGTCAGAACTCCTAGGTCTGAGGGGGAAGATGGTTGATGGTCAGGACTCCTGGGTCTGAGGGGGCAGATGGCTGATGGTCAGAACTCCCAGGTCTGAGGGGGAAGATGGTTGATGGTCAGGACTTGTGGGTCTGAGGCGGGAGATGGTTGGTGGTCGGGACTCCTGGGTCTAAAGGGGAAGAAGGTTGGTGGTCAGGATTCCTGGGTCTGAGGGAAGAGATGGTTGGTAGTGAGGACTCCTGGGTCTGATGGAGGAGGAGGCTGGGGTCTTGCCTGGGTCAGGGCCTCCTCACACTGCTGTGTGACTCTGTTTATACAGCTGTCTCCTCCAGAGTGGCGTCTCCTCAAGGGCAGGGTCCGGATCTGAGTCATCTGTGTGTGCCTGGCATCACCCGTCCGAGAGCCTAGCTCACCAGCGGCTCAGGAGGTGTGGGACAATGAATCAGTGATTGTTTCTTAGCCCTTTCTCCATTCCTGCTGGGTTATCTCCCCACCCTTCTGTCCCAGTGTTCTGCAAAACACACACCGAGGTTTTCTATGAGTAAATTCTTGGAAGGGCCACTGTGGACTCAGGACACATAGTGAACATCAGCCACCACTGGAATGAAGGACAGGGAGAGGTGGCCCTGGGTGAGGAGTGCAGGAGGGCTTGGATGTCCCGCCCCAGCTTCATCTGTCCTTGTTCAACTGTCCTCTAGTCTTGGCTGCTTCCAATGTTGGTCATCTCCCCCAGCAAAGGATTCTGGGAGAACAGTCAGACTCCTGGGTCTGAGGGAGGAAGGAGCTGGGGACCTGGACTCCTGGGTCTGAGGGAGGAGGGGGCTGGGGGACCAGGACTCCTGGGTCTGAGGGAGGAGGGGGCTGGGGACCAAGACTCCTGGGTCTGAGGGAGGAGGGGGCTGGGAACTAGGATTCCTAGGTCTGAGGGAGGAGGGGGCTGGGGGACCAGGACTCCTGGGTCTGAGGGAGGAGGGGACTGGGGACCAGGACTCCTGGGTCTGAGGGAGGAGGGGGCTGGGAACTAGGATTCCTGGGTCTGAGGGAGGAGGGGGCTGGGGGACCAGGACTCCTGGGTCTGAGGGAGGAGGGGGCTGGGGACCAGGATTCCTGGGTCTGAGGGAGGGGGAAGCTGAGGGTCAGGACTACTGGGTCTCAGGGAAAAAGGAGCTAGAGTCCCAGATTTCTGGATTCTGGGGACCAGACTCCTGGATTCCACATGAGGAAATCATTGGGGTTCAAAATCCTGGTTCCTCCTCCCTCATCCACACTCTGGTTTTAGAAACATCTGGTTTTATACAGCTGCTCCACCCAGATTTGGAGGGGAGGGGTGGGGGCTGGGCAGGCTTCTGGGTGGAGCTTGGGCTGGGGGAGAGGAATCACCCTCCCCACTCTCTCTCTGGGCTCAACTCCCACCTTTGGATCCATCACCCTGACACAGCCAGACACCAGGTCAGCCTCCTGGCAACAGCGTCAGAGAGATTGCTCTGCCCTGGTGGGATGGGCAGGTGATCATGGTTCTAGCCTGGACAGGTCGTCTGTCCAAGGCCAGACTCAGGCAGAGGCCCAACTTGGCCTCCTTGGAGAAACTCAGGGTGTGAGGACTTGGCATCTCAGAAGGAGAGCTGTGGACAAACGGGAAGAGATGGAACAGCTGGTGAAAAAGGAAGACTGAGAGAGAGAAATAAATAAATAGAAAGAAGTAAAGACAGTGAGCTAGAGATGCAGAGTTAGAGTCCTCAGACTAGACACAGTGAGAGACAAAGACAGACAGACAGACAGAGAGAAGAACAAAAAACAAACTGGTTGCGCCAAGCCAATTCTGACTCAGAGTGGAACTGCCCCATGGGGTTTCCAAGGCTGCAGTCTTTACGGGGAGCAGACAGCTGCATCTCTCTCCTGTGGCGCTGCCGACCTTTCAGTTAGCAACCGAAAGATGAGGCTTTCTGCTCCCGTAAAGATTTACAGCCTCGGAAACCCTGTACAGGGTCTCTATGAGTCGGAACCGACTCCACGGCACATCACAACAACAACCTTAGCCACTGTGCCACCATGGTTTCTTGTAATCAGTGTTGTTGTTGTTGTTAAGTGCTGTAGAGACAGTTCTAACTCATAGTGATCCTGTGCAGGATTTCTGAGGTACACTTGGTGGGTTTGAACTGCCAACCTTGTGGTTTGCACTCCAGTGCTGATTCTATGGCACCACACCAGGAGTCCTCATATAGAGATGTTTGTTGTTGTGAAGTGCCCTTGAGTCGGTTCCAACCCATAGTGACCCTGCTGCATAGGGTGTCTAAGTTGCAGCTGGTGAGCTTGAACTGCTGACTTTGCAGTTCAAACGGCTTTGCAGTCTGGTGCATTAACCCACAGCGCCACCCCAGGACTCCCATATAGAGATGTTGTTAATTGTTAGGTGGCATCGAGTCGTTACTGACTAATAGTGACCCTATGCACAACAGAATGAAACACTGCCTGATCCTGGGCCAACCTCACAATTGTTGCCATGCTTGAGCCCATTGATGCTGCCTCTTTGTCAATCCATCTCGCTGGGGTGGGGGGATATCTTCCTCTTTTTCTCTGACCCTCTACCTTACCAAACATGATATGGATCTAGCATCCAAGAAAGACAGAGACAGGAATACAGAGAGACAGACAGAAGAGCATCAATTCCCACTAATAGCAACCCTCTGGGATAGAGTAGAACTGTCCCATAGGGTTTCTGAGGCTATAAATCCATAGGGAACCAGACTGCCTCATCTTTCTCCTTGGGGCAGCTGGTGAGCTCAAACCACCAACCTGTGGTTAGCAGCCCAATGCTTAAGCTACTGTGCCACATGAAAGCTAACCCATTGCTCTCTAGTTGATTTTGATTCAGAGTGATATGATAGGACAGAGAAGGATGGCACCATAGGTTCTGAGGCTGTAAAGCTCTGGTAGCATAGTGGTTACAAAACAGGCTGCAAACCTTAAGGTCAGCAGTTCAAAACTACCAGCTGTTCTGCGGGAGAAAGATGAGGCTTTCTGTTCCCGTAAAGATTTACAGCCTTGGAAACCTTATACAGGGTCACTATGAGTCAGAACCGACTACAAGGCACATAACAATAATAAAGTTTTACAGAAGCAGACAGTCTCATGTTTCTTCCTCAGATTTGTGGTTGTTAGGTGCCATCGAGTTGGTACCGACCCATAGTGACCTTATGCACAGCAGAACGAAACACTGCCTGATCCTGGTCCAACCTCACTACTGTTGCCTTGTTTGAGTCCACCTTACCAAACATGATTGGTTGGGGGGTTTAGAAGGAAGTGGGACTATATAGAGATAATTAGAGTCTCTGATGCAGAGAGAGACAGAGAGGGAAACAGATGGAGAGGGAGGAAGAGAGAACCACTGATGAGTTCTAGAAAATGAAACAGTGAGGAAGACAGAATTACCTAATTCACAGGGACTTTTAAAACCATGGAACGGAGAGATCTGACGACAAGCAGGAAGAAAAGCCAGGAATGGAACATGTCCTTTGGAACCAGGATCCTTGCACTAGGAACTTCCTACTCCCAGGGAATGGTGGTTGGTGGTTATATGCCATGGAGTCGGTTCCGACTCATAGCAACCCTGTACAGGGTTTCTGAGTCTGTAAATATTTACATGGGCAGAAAGCCTCATCTTTCTCCCATAGTACAGCTGGTAGTTTCGAACTGCTGATCTTAAGGTTCCCAGCCCGATTTGTAACCACTATGCTACCAGAATATTGAAGCCAAAATCTATGGGGATCTTGAAGAAATAACTTGGCAAAGAGATGCTGAGAAGAGACAAGGCACTTCCTCTTGAATTGTGAACCAACTGAGAGAGAATGCCTTCCCAGGAGGTCATGTACTGAAAGTGGACTTCTAACCTCCTAAATTGTGAGAGAGGATAAACTTCTGTTTCCTAAAACAGCATCAACAACAAAATAGTATAGAAACAATAACATTTATCACAAGGTCTCCTGGTCCCTAAGGACCTGGAGCTGGGACCTTTTGGATGCCCTTTTCTTGGGCTTTTGAGTGAGGCCACGCCTATTTGAACCCTACCTCAGTTTCCCTAATGGGTTAGGGCACTAACAGAGCCCCGACGGATCTCTGAAGGCAGCTGACCAACTCTTTTGAGTTCACTTCTGAGTCCCTGGGGAGACCAATCCCAGTGTCCTGGACCACCCCCCATCCCAGACGCCGGCACAGGCGCGCGTGCGCACACACGGAGACTCACGTCAGTCAGGAACTGACAGACAGACGTTCAGTCACAGCTCGGTCCAGACGGCGGTGCCTCACAAGCCAGCGCACACACAGTCACACCCGCAAACACACATGTGTGCTTGAGACAAGTCCCTGGGGGACCCAACCCAGAGACGGATGGCTTTAGGGGTTGGAGGGGAGTGGAAGTGTGGGATGTCAGGACCATGGGGCAGGTGAGAAGGGGGGAGGTAAAGAGAGCTGGGAAGATTGGGGGAAACAGAGAGAGCGGTTTGTGTGTGGGGAGGGGGAGTAGAGAGAAAAACCTACTGCCATTGAGTGGGCTCCCACAGAGGAAGCGGACACTACGGAGAAAGGAAGACTGGGGAACAGGAAAGAGGAGATGGGAAGTTGGGGAGAAAGATACCAAGGTGATGGGGCAGGACTCTAGCAAAAGAGATAAAAAGGGGACGCGGTGGGAGGGAGAAGAGAAGAAATAAACTGAGGGGGTCCGGGGGTGGGGCAGACAAGAGGGCGAACTGAAGGGCTGGGCTGGGCAGGGATAGAGGACCCGCTGCAGAGGAGGCTGAGGGGGTGATGGCGGGAAGCGGGTGGGGCTCTCCTGGTGCTTGTGACCTCACAGCCCCTGGCCCAGCTCAGCCCTGACGTCAGCGCTCCTCCCGCCCCCGCCTGCGCGTGGCTTCAAATGACACCCCCAGCTCTCAGGCTCCTGAGACCCATCTCGTCTCGGAGCGAGGAGCCAGACAGAAGAGAGTGCCGGGGCCGGACCCTCAGCGATGAGACAGGTGTGTGCGTCTGTGCGTGTGTTGACTCCCCTCGCTGAGTGTGTGACCACGTGTGCCTGAAATTGTGTCCCCGTGGGTATGGACTCTTGGTAGTGCAACGGTTAAGCACTTGGCTGCTAACTGAAAAGCTGGTGGGTTTGAAATATTGGTGGTTTGAACTCAGGCATTGCGGGGAGGAAGAAAGATCTGGCGATCTGCGCCTATAAAGTTGACAGCCGAGGAAACCCTATGGGGCAGTTCTACTCTGTCACGTGGGATTGCTGTGAGTCGGAATCAGTTCCATGGCATCTAAGAACATCCATGTAAGTGGCAGCGGTCATCTGTGTGGAGCAGCGAGTGTTTCCAGCTGAGTGTGCGCTGTTCCCATCTATCTCTGTGTGGGGAGGTGACCACAGAGGGCACGTGTATATGAGATGGGACACTTCCCGGGTTATGTACTAACGTGCCGTACTTTTCCCTCTGTGTAAGTCTGTGTGCCAGGGAGGAAAAAAGAGAGAGAACCAGCAAGTGAGACAGAGACAGACAGAAAGCTGTGTCTGCCTATGGCATGTGGATCGGATGTGTATTTTATGTGTTCAATACGTACCATCCTGGACCACATGACATTGCTGATACTCAACCACATTTGAAACATAAAAATGGCAATTTCATCAGGTTGAATGTCATATTTTTTAAAGTTTTTATTGTGGATTGAGTGAAAGTTTACAGGGCAGATCATCAGTGTTACATTTAACAAATCATATACTTTGTTTCATTACAATGATTATAATCCCTTCCATGTACCATCAGTTAACAGTATTTCTCTCTATTCATTTTCGCTCCTTTAAAAAAAAAATTAAAACAAAACACTCAGGCATATATAATAATTTAAATCACCAAAGGGCACCTTTTTCAAGTCTGCCTCCTGGCCGCCAGCTCTCAGTCCCTCTCTTCCCATGAATCTAGAGTCCTCAGCTGCTCCCTCTCTCCATGTCCCCATCTCTGCCTCCATCTCTGGTGTCACTGCTTCTCTGGATAGGGTCCCACATTGAATGTCATCTTGACTGTTACTATTTATTTTTTTTTCTCAACCCATTCCTTGTTGGTCCATTGCCCAAGGCCGGAAGATGGGGGTGTTTGTGTGTTTCTTGCCTTGTGGGCATCTCTCTGCTCAGTGCTGCCACCTTCCTGTTGGCAGGTGTGTGTCAGCAGGTGCACCTATGTGGGTGGGTGGGGGGTTATGGGATCACTGTGCTTTGCTTGAGATGGGAATCTGCATTAGTTTTCAAGAATGGGGGCATTTTCCTATAAAGACACTCTGTCACTTGGCATGTGTGAGAGGATGGGTCCCAGGGCCTGTGTGGGGGTGTGTGCCCACAGTTGATATGTGCCCATCTATGTCACTGGGACCCCATCCCCTATGTCCCCACCATGAATTAGGTCAACCCCAGGAACTCAGACAGGGTAAGGTTTGAGGCAAAGGGAAAGAGAAGTAAGATTGTAGATGAAAGAAGTCACCGTTGGTGTTGAGCAGTTACTAGTACCAAGTCAGGGCCTCCAGTGGGGCTGGAGGATAAGCACCAGACTATTAAATGTAAGGTGATCAGTTCAAGCCCACCAGTAGCTTCAAGGGGAAAAAGATGAAGCTGTGTGCTTCTGTAAAGATCTACAGTCTTGGAAACCCTACCCATGGTGGCTGTGAGATGGAATCAATTTGTTGGCAGTGGATGGTAGAGTGCCAAGCTGTGTTCTAGAACCTCTGCCCTAGTGCAACCCAATAGAAACATCATATGAGACACCTAAATCATGTAAAAGTTTCTAGTCATCATATTAAAAATGTAAAGTGAAGCAGATTCATTAAAATGTAATAATATATTTTATTTACTCCAGTGGAATGGAATCCCTGGGTGCCGTATATAGTTGACAAGCTCGCCTGCTAACCGAAAGGCTGAAGATTTGAGTTCCTCCAGCGGTACCTCAGAAGAAAGGCCTGGTGAACTACGTTTGAAAAAAATCAGCCGTTGAGAAAGCTAGGGAGCACAGTCCTACTCTGACACACACAGAGTCCCCATGAGTTGACTGGGTGGCAACAGGCGGTAACTCAGAGTAACAAAACAAAAACAAACCAGTTGTGGTTTGCAGCTGAGTGCCACCCCAGGACTTAAGATGACTATTCCAACTCATGGCAAGTCCGTATGTTCCAGAGTAAAACCGTACATACTCTTTTCAAGGGCTGTGATGTGTCAGAAGTAGATCACCAGACCTGAGGTGCTACTGGTTGGGTTCGAACAACCATTCTGTCAGTTAGTAGCCAAGTAATGAACTGTTTGGGCTACGCAAGGAGTCCCGCAGTGTAACAGGGGCCAGCAAAAAATTTCCGTTCCAGACCAAAAAGAAACCATTGCTAGTGAGTTGATTCCAACTAATAGAAACTCTTTAAGACAGAGTTGTTGTTGTTGTTGTCAGCGTACATACAACTAACTACTCCTCAGGCTTTGTGAAGCGACATTGTTACTGGGGCGGAGACCCTCATCTTCCTCCCATGTTAAAAACCTGTTGTTGCTGGGGTTTCTTTTGCTGTTGTTAAGTGTCGTCAAGTCGGTTCCATCTCATAATAACCCTATAGAGTTTTCAAAGAGGAGCTGGTGGATTTGAACCACTGACCTGTGGTCAGTAGTCCAGTGATTGTCCTACAGTGCCACAGCGGTTTGTGTGTATTCAAGACTGCACAGTAAATATGGTTTTGTGATTATAGGGTTTCTGTAACAATGATTCAGCTTTGATGTAGTACGAAAACAATCATGGCCAACAACAGCCAAGAACAAGCATGGCCTGAGTTCCAATAAAACTTTATTTAAGGACACAGAAATTTGAATTTTGCAGACTTTTCAAGTCTTTTGATTTTTTCCAACCCTTTAAAAATATAAAAGGCATTCTCAGCTTGACAGGCAGTGGGCATCTGGTAGTGCCCTGGTGTGGTGCTGTGGATTAATGTGCCAGACTGCAAAGCCATTTGAACTGTCAGGTCGGTGGTTCAAACTCACCAGTTGCTTCTTGGAAACTGACTCAACAGCACTTAACAACAGCAACAATACTGTGTGGACCACTGATGTACTCTGTATTTCAAGTATTATCATTTTAATATGTAACTATAGAAACGCACAAGGGTCTTCAAAAAGTTCACAGAAAAATATTCATGATCTTTTCATTCCATTTTTCCCACAAACTTTTTGAAGACCCTTAGTATTACCCAACTCAAAAAACCCCACCATGCCCCCCAAATTACTATCTAGTCAATTCAATTCATAGTGACCTTATACAGAGCTGAACTACCTTATAGGTTTAAAACTGTAAATCTGTATGGAAGCATGTTTCTCTCTCAAAGTGGTGGGTTTGAACCTCGAGTTTTCAGTTCAGTGCATAACCACGGCACCACCAGGATTCCTTACAAATATTCTGAGATCTAGTTCCTTTTTAATGTACTGAGTCTTTGAAATCCAGTATGCACGGCTAGCACATTTCAATTCAGATGCTACATTTTCATTGATGATTCTTAATTCTTTATTTATGTATTGGAAGATCCCCAGGTGGAGTACATAGTATTCAGCTTCTAGCCTGCTGTGTGCCATCAAGTCAAATCCACCTCATAGCGACCCTGTAGAGCAGGGATGGGGAACATCATAAGGCCCTCAAAATCATTTGCTCTGGCCCTGCTAAGGCAACCACAGTGCCAGTCATCATATTGTTGTTTTTGCTGTTGTTAGGTGCTGCTAAGGGTGAGTTAATTAAATGTTTGACCAAATATAGCAGGCTAATTTTTAAGTTGTTAATTTCGTATGGCCCATGAATGATGTTATAAATGTTGGCAGGAAAAAGATTCCCCACCCTGCGCAGGGTTTCTGAGGCTATAAATCCTTATGGGAGCAGAAAGCTTCATCTCTCTCCCATAGAGCAGCTGGTAGATTTGAACTGCTGACCTTGTGGATAGCAGCCCAATGCATAACCACTACACTACCAGGGTTCTTTTGGCTATTGACCTAAAGGTCGGCAATTAGAATCCACCCAGAAGTGCCATGGAAGTGAAGCTTAGCTAAGTACTTCTGTAAAGTTGACCCACAGGCAAACGCTGCTCTGTAACACCTGGGGGTCGGTCATGAATCGGGATCAATCCGCGAGGATTTTGTTGCTGTTGTTTATTTATTGTTAGTTTCACTTGAGTTGATTCAGATGGTTTGTTTATTTAGATTTCGTGCAACTGTTGAAAAGCACATGCTCCAATGGTTTCAAACATTCTTCAACACGTTGTAATAACTGCATTGAGTTTCAACTTTAAAATTCATTAAAATACAAAACTGAGTTTCTCAGTCTCACTGGCCACATGTGGCTGGTGGCTTCTGAGTTAGACAGCACCGATCTAGAACATTTTCCTCATGGTAGATCTATATCTAATGATTGGTTGGATTCTGAACTCGTCGTGACCCTCTGAGGTGGACACAGGAGGCAGCTTAGTGTGAAGGTTAAGAGCTGGAAACTAGAGCTAGACTGCTTGGGCTTGAACCCTGACCCCTGTACTTATTACTCAAACAATCCTTGGACAAGAGGATTTTCCACCCTGTACCTCAGTTTCCTCATCTGTAACAGAGGGATAATAACAGTAATGACTTTACAGGCTTGTTGTAAAGAAGAACCCGGGATAATAAATTTAACCAAACCCACCTTACTGCCATCAACTTGCTTCTGACCCACAGCACCGTTTAGGATAAAGTAGAACGCCTTAGGCATTTCCGAGACTGTCAGTCTTTCCGGAAGCACACAGTCTCATCTTGATCAGCTAGAGAGGCTGGAAGGTTTAAACCACTGACCTTGTGTTTAGCAGTCTGACGTGTAACCCATTGTGCCACCTCAGAAGGTGCTAGATACCCATTTAACAGATGAGGAAACAGAGGCATCCTTTCCATCTGCTTCTGGGCTCTTCCAGTCATACCTGCTGGGCACTGTAGAGAGCTGGGCAGAGGGAGAGGAGGAGTAGGCTATACCTGTGGGAAACCACCACAGGGGACTTCCGTCTGTGGAAACCAGATAGAAGAATCTTCCTCTTGAGAGTTTTGTGCTCCTGGGCAAGCCACTCCTCGTCGCTGACCCGACCTCAGTTTTGCCATCTGTATAACGGGAAGACACGTTATCTGTCCTTCAGAGCTCCCCTGAGGGATCCAGGCAATATGTAAAGTGTGGTTTAGTAACTGGATTCCAAGGAATTTCAAATCCTAGTTTCTCTTTTTCTGGATGTGACCCTGGAGAGATTGCTTCACCTCTGTGTGACTTAGTTGCCCTATCTGTAAGGTAGGGGTGATGATGATAATAGTGATCTCATAGGGCTGTTGTGAGGACTGAAATAAGTAAATTCATACAAAAAGCATAAAGCAGTGCCTGGCGTGTACCATTTTATAGTCTTGTTTTAGTAGTTTATATTATTATTACTTCTCAACACTAGGATGCCTTTGTAGTATGAGTCTTTATTTTACATCCCATTAAAGGAATTGCTGGAGTCCTGGTGTGGCACTGTAGGATAAGCACTAGACGGCTAGCCACAAGGTTGGCGGTTCAAACCCATCAGCTGCTCCTTGGAAACCCTATACAGTGTTGCTCTGAGTCAGAAAGGATTCAATAGCATTTAACAACAATGGAATTGCTGGGTAGTGTTAAAAAAATATCCTGGTGGCACAGTGGTTAAGTGCTGGGCTGCTAATGGAAAGGCCGGTGGTTCAAACCCATCAGCTGGTCTGTAAGAGAGAGATGTAGCAGTTTGCTTCTGTAAAGACTGTGGCCTTGGAAACCCTATGGGGGAAGTTCTAATCTGTCCTGTTACGTGACTATGAATTGGAATTGATTGAATGGCTCTGGGCTTTGGTTTGGGTAGCACGGTGGCTAATGACCTCACCCCGTCCCTCTCTCCTTCCCTTCTCATCTTTGCTTGAGTTACGCGTTGATCTTGCCACAATCATTCTCATGAATGAAAATAACTTCCTAGCACGCAGAGGATCCTCTTTACACAACGGGGGTGTTTTGAGTTGGCCAAGTGTTCCACTGCTAGCCAAAAGGTTATGGTTTGAACCTATCCAGAGGCACCCCAATGAGATGGATTGGCACAGTGGCAGCAGCAAGACTCAAGCATAACAACAGTTGTGAGGTTGGCACAGGAATGGGCACTGTTTTATTCTGTTGTGCAGAGGGTTGCTGTGAGCCAGAACCAAGTTGACGGCACCTAACAACAGGAGAGGTACCTTGGAAGAAAGTCCTGGCAATCTACCTCCAAAAGGTCACAGCTTTGGAAACCCTGTGGGGCAGTTCTAGTCCGCACACATGGGGTCATTCTGAGTTGGATTCAGAGTCCCTAGCAACTAACAGCAAGACGGGCAACGCCTGCCAATTAAATGCTGACGCTCCACTGACTAACTCGTTTTGCAATCCCAGAAACGTGAAATCAACACAATCAGGCATTAAGCAGAGAGAAGGGGCCCTGGTGGCATCGTGGCAAAAGCACGTGGCTACTAACCTAAAGTTCAAACCCACCAGCAGCACTCCACCAGAGACGGAAGGATATGGTAGTGTACGTTCCTAAAGATTACACCCTTGGGACCCCTGTGGAGGGTCCTGAAGAGTCACTATAAACAGGAATCGACTTCATGGCAGTGGGTTTAAGCCCAGACAGCTGTTTGCCACTGTCCTTTTCTTTCTTTACACAACAAATTAGATTCTGATTGAACAATTTCTAGGCATCTTGCTCCCTGACGTTGGCTATATTTTTCAATGTGTCAGCGCTCTATTTCTATTCTGGTTGCTCTGTTTCGGTGACTCTAGCTTCCCTGCCCTTTCCCTTGACCTTCTCATCTTTGTATATATGATCCTGCTACAATACTTTTCATGAATCCCAGAGGACCCTCTTTACACAAATGGAGATGCTTTGAGCTGGGGTTTTGGTTTTCTTGGGTGGGGAGAGTAGAATAACCTCCCAGGAAGAGGACCGCCGTTCATTCTTTCCACCCTGTCTCTGCTTCATTCAGGATAAACCCAAGCCCACGCCTGCAGCCCGCCGGTGCTCCGGATTGGCCCGTAGGGTGGTGACCATCGCCTTCGCCCTGCTCATTTTGGGCCTCATGACCTGGGCCTACGCCGCCGGTGTGCCGCTGGCTTCGGATAGCTACGGCCTCCTGGCCTTCGGCCTCTATGGAGCCTTCCTTACCGCGCACCTGGTGGCGCAGAGCCTCTTCGCCTATCTGGAGCATCGACGGGTGGCGGCGGCAGCGCGGCGCGCAGCAGCGCGTGGACCTCTGGTTGCGGCCCGGGCGCGCAGCGTGGCGCTGACCATCTCCGCGTACCAGGAGGACCCCACATACCTGCGTCAGTGCCTGGCGTCCGCGCGCGCTCTGCAGTACCCGCGCGAGCGGCTGCGAATCCTCATGGTGGTGGACGGTAACCGCCCCGAAGACCTCTACATGGTGGACATGTTCCGAGAGGTCTTCGCCAACGAGGAGCCCGCCACCTACGTGTGGGACGGCAACTACCACCAGCCCTGGGAGCCCGCGTCGGCGGGCGTGCAGGGAGCCTACCGGGAGGTGGAGGCTGAGGACCCTGGGCGGCTGGCCGTGGAGGCGCTGGTGAGGACGCGCAGGTGCGTGTGCGTGGCCCAGCGCTGGGGCGGCAAGCGCGAGGTCATGTACACGGCCTTCAAGGCGCTGGGCGACTCGGTGGATTACGTGCAGGTGAGAGGAGGGAGTTCACATCCATTCTGTGTAGAAAATCAGTCCCTTTTCCTTCCTTTATAGAGCCAGCCTTCTATCCAATGCCGATTCTTTCCTTTACTTATCCATCTATCCATCCAGTGGACTTGCATGAATTCATTCATTTAACCAGCCATTCAATGTATTCTTTCATTCATTCTTTCATCCATTCATCCACCCACCCACCCACCCATCCATCCATCCATCCATCGAATATACCCACTACCAGAGTCGATTTCCACTCATAGTGACCCTGTAGTTTCAGAGGCTGTAAATCTTCACAGGAGCAAAAAAAAAAAAGCCTCATCTTTTTCCCACAGAGCAACGGGTGGGTTTGAACAGTCGACCTTGTGGTTAGCAGTCCAATGCTTATCCTACAATGCCACCAGAGCTCCTTTCCATGCAATATAGAGATTCGTACATTTAGTCAAACATCCATTTATTATAGATTCTTTCCTTCCTTCATTCATTCATTCATCTGTCCATTGTAATCTTTTCTTCACTCATTCATTTGTTCATCCACTCACTCATTCATTGATCCAGCCATCCATTTATTCAGTATAGCAACTCATTTATTCATCATTTATGTAGCGATTCATTCTTTTTCATTTTCTATCCATTCAGCAGAGGGTTTTTTTCCCCTTTATTCACCCATTCAACATAGATTTATCTGTTCATTTATTCATTCACACATCAATATAGTGATTTCTTCTTTTACTTATCCATTCATCTGTCCATCCAATAGAGATCATTTATTAATTTATTCATTCATTCACATCCATGTGATGTAGAGAATATTTTCATTCAGCTATTCAACATAGCCAGGAGCTCTGGTAGCGTAGTGGTTACAAATCGGGCTGCGAACCTTCAGGTCAGCGGTTTGAAACTACCAGCTGCTCCGCAGGAGAAAGATCAGGCTTTCTACTCCTGTAAAGATTTACACCCTCGGAAACCCTGTACAGGGTCACTATGGGTCGAAACCGACTCAACGGCACTTAACAACAACAACATTCAACATAGAGAGCTGTTTATTCCTTTAGTTATCCATTCATACATTCAGTGGATTCATTCATTAATGCGTTTGTGTTCTATCTATCGCTGTGTAACAAATTATCACAATTTTGGTCGCAGAAGCAACACACATTTATTAACTCAGGGTTTCTGAGGGTTAGGAGTCTGGCTGTTGGTTAGAATGGTTCTCTGTTCAGGGTTTTACCAGGCTGCGGTTAAGGCGTTTGTTAGTGAGTTTCTTCCAACGCATGTGTTTATTGTTAAAATTCATTTTCTCTCAGCCAAGGAGCTCAAGGTCATTTGCTTCTTTATTAAGGCCAGAAACAGAGGGAGTATTGCTTGCTGACCCTCTTTTAAAGAGCTCATCTGGTTAGTTACTCACTCAGGAGAATCTATTTCTACACAGATTAGGAACCATAATTGCATATGAAAGATGACTTTTTCCATATAAGGTACATGCTCCTGGCTGGTATCTGGTGTCACTTTTGCTATATCATCTGTTGGTTACAAGTTACTGTTCTCACTCACACTCAAGGGAGGTATTATACAAAGGTGTGGGTCTTGGTGACCTACGAACTAAATGTACTCTGCCCTGTTGTGTTGGTGTGGCTTGGAATTGACTCAACCACAGTGGAGGTTTTTGTTTCGCTTTATTTATAAGTCTTGGGGGTCAATGTGATTAGACATTGAAAATGATTTCAAAATTCAAGGTCCCAACTGCCCCCCATCCCTGCTGCCCTCCCTCCGCGCACCTGCCCCACATAGTAGAGTTCTGATCTCATCCTGGCTCTTTTGGTCCTGCAGGTCTGTGACTCAGACACAAGGCTGGACCCTATGGCGCTGCTGGAACTCGTGCAAGTGCTGGACGAAGACCCCCGGGTAGGGGCTGTGGGGGGAGATGTTCGGATTCTTAACCCCTTGGACTCCTGGGTCAGCTTCCTAAGCAGCCTTCGATACTGGGTGGCCTTCAACGTGGAGCGGGCTTGTCAGAGCTACTTCCACTGTGTGTCCTGCATCAGTGGTCCCCTAGGTGAGCAGGGGACAGGGCTTGGATGGAGAGGAGGAGGAGAAGGGATGCTGGGGATGTGGTTGAGATTGGGGAGAAAGATGGGGTTGGACAGGAACTGGAGGTGGAGATGGTATGTGTCTGGGGATGTGGTTAAGGGATGGGGTTGGAGAAAGTATTTGACTAGGAATTGGGACTGGGGTTGGGAAAGGATTGGGGGAAAGGGATGCAATGGGTTTGGGGTCAAGAACAGTGCTGGGGTCAGGCTTAAGGTTGGAGATGGGGTTTTAGATGATAGGACTGGGATGGGGCTAGGGTGGATTTGGAGTCAGAGTGGGTGTGGATCAGGGACGGGGTTGGGGTAAGTTTGAACTAAGGATGGGTTGGGAGTAGAGTTGGAGTTGGAGACAGGGCTGGAAAGGGCCTGGGGTTGGGACTGGAGAGAGGAATGAAGACGGTACTGGTGACACTTGGCAGAAGCTGATGCTCCTGACCCCCTACCTCTCCTAGGCCTGTACAGGAACAACCTCCTGCAACAGTTCCTCGAAGCCTGGTACAACCAGAAATTCCTGGGCACCCACTGCACCTTTGGAGATGACCGACACCTCACTAACCGCATGCTCAGCATGGGCTACGCCACCAAGTAAGCCGAGGGGACGGGGTGGTCAGGTGTGTAGTGGGGCTACATAGTAGAATCCCAGGGAATGCTCGGCATGTTAGGAATTCTTCAAACCCAAAGTAACCCTTGGGACCATGGTCACTTACCAAGTGAGACATTAGGGGAGAATGGAAGATTTAGCAGAAACGGCATTTGCTGTGAACCAATGGAGTCCTGTTATAGCACCACAGGATAAACACTGGGCTGCAAGGTCAGTTTGAACCTCAAGGTCGGTGGTTCAAACTCATCAGTCACTCCTCAGAAACCCTATACAGCGTTGCTGTGGGTCAGAACCTACTCGATGACCCTTGGTAGCAACAACAGTGGATTCTACCACACGAGACTTTAGAGAAGAGTGGAAGATACCATAGGGGCAAGCCAATGGGCTCTTCCAAGAGGGACAACAGGGACAGTGGAAGCAATCAAGGGGCAGAGGTGGCATTAGCATTGAACCAAGGATTCAACCAAGTAAGAGTTTAGGGAGAGTGGAAAGATATCATAAGGATAGGGAGAGTGGAAGATACCATCCAAGACAGGGGTGGCATTTGCATTGAATCACATGACCCAATAGACTCTCTTAAGTGAGGCAGGTGAGGTTAAGGAATCCCACCTAGAAAAATCAACATGAGATGAGAAGAGTAGAATCTACCATGGAGACCAAGGCAGATTATTCCAAGTGAGGTGGGAAGGGTAAGAAAGAAATGGATAGGGTGGGATCTAACGAGTGAGAAAGTACCTACCAACCACTCTTCAGAGATCCTAAAGACAGGGTCACTATGAGTAGGGACCAACTTAGCAACAGTGATGGCAAATGTATGGAAAGGGATAGATTTCTGAGCAGTACGGGGGAAATGTGACTTCCAAGTGACAGATGGGAAGGAGGCTGGACACTATCCATCAATGGCCATGGGGAGAGAACAGTATGACTTTGCCTGATAAACTTACAGCTTGCAGTAAAAGGCATTCTGGACCGCTCTGAAAGGGATCACAATTGGAGGTCCTTGATAGAGTGGGAGGAAATGTGGAACAAAACTTGAAGTCATGAAAAAGACCAGGCTTACTGGTTCGACACACTGGTGGAACCCCCGAGACTGTGGTCCTCAGTCACCCTTCAGACCTGGAACTGAACTCACCCCCCTGGCTCAACTTTCAGCCAAACAATAGACAGGCCTATATGGTGACCAGTAGCACCAGGGAGGTTTGCATGTCTTAGAACAACCAACTGTTAAAGACCAAAAGGGAAACATATGCCCAGGGATAAAGCTCAGAAGGCAGGAGAGGCTAGGAAAGGCGGATGGATGGAAACATTAAACACAGGGAGGATGGGAGAAGAATGCTGCAATGCAGGGATTGCAGTCAATGTCGCGAATAAAAATGTGTATGACACGTTGAATGTAAAAACCAATTTGCTCTGTAAATTCTCACCCAAATCATCATTAAAAAGTCAACAAGGAAAAAGGGGATTCAGGCCTTGAATGACTTGGATGGAAATCTTCAGGGATTGATTAGTAATGTCTTCCATGGACACAGGAAGGGCGTTTGATGATTCCCTTGAGAAGTTCTACTACGTGAACTAGTCTAGGCAATAACTGTGTCTTGTTCCTCATCGTGGGGCTGCCAATAAGAGTAATTGTGTTAGTATGAGTAATAGATTAGTGAAAGTATTAGTAAGAGTATTAGTAACAGTAATAAGGTTAGTCATAGTAGTAGTAACTGACATAGATTAAGTATGTACTGCGTGTCATCAGGAGGGACCAGTCCCTGGAGAAGGGTATCATGTTTGGTAAGGTGGAGGGTCAGAGAAAAAGAGGAAGACCCCCATCGAGATGGATTGGCTAAGTGGCAGCATCGATGGACTCAAGCGTGGCAACAATAGTGAGGTTGGCCCAGGATCGGGCAGTGTTTCGTTCTGTTGTGCATACGGTTGCTATGAGTCGGTACAGACTCGATGACACCTAACAATAACAACATATTACTGATCCTAGGAGTCCCGGTGTGGCGCTGTGGGTTAATGTGCCAGACTACAAAGCCGTTTGAACGGCCAGGTCTGCGGTTCAAGCTCACCAGCTGCTCCTTGGAAGCCTTACACAGGGTCGCTATGGGTTGTAACCAACTGGATGGCACTTAACAACAATATTACTGATCCTAAGAAAAATAGCAAAATAAACTGTTGCCATCTTGACAATTCTGACTCATGAAGACCCTTTGTGTTACAAAAGAGAACTGATCCATAGGGTTTCCTTGACTGTAATCTTTATGGAAACAGGCTGTCAAAACTATCTTTCAAGGTGCCACTACTAGGGGCTTGGTCTGGTCCTAAATTCAAAGAGGCTTCAAAAAGTTCACAGAAAAATTCCCTTATCTTCTAATTCTATTTTTCAGCGAACTGTTTGAAGTTCTGGTTGGTTGGTTGGTTATGTGCCGTGGAGTTGGTTCTGACTCATAGAGACCCGGTACAGGGTTTCCGAGGCTGTAAATCTTTACTGGAGCAGAAAGCCTCACCTTTCTCCCGTGGAACAGCTGATAGTTTCGAACTGCTGACCTTGCGGTTCGCAGCCTGATTCGTAACCATTATGCTTCCAGAGCGTAGTAATTATAATTTAATCCTCCCAGTAGGGGGCAATGGTGGTTCAGTCGTAGAATTTTCCCATTCTATGTAAGAGATCAGAATTCCGGTGTGGCGCTGAAGGATAAGCATTGGACTGCCATCTGAAAGGTCAGGGGTTCAAACCCACCAATCGTTTTTCAGAATCCCTGGCTGTGAGTCAGAACTGACTTGATGACACTTAACAACAACAACAATGTAAGAGATCTAAATTCCTTCCTAGTCAGTGCACATTTGTCAGATTTCAATGTTACCATGATGCTGAATAGGGTTCACTGGAGCTTTCAGACTAAGACCCGGAAGAAAAGAGCCCCCTGCTGGTGCAATGGTTTTAAGTGTGGTGGTGGTGGTGGTGGCGGGGTGCCGTAGAGTTGGTCATGACTCACAGGGACCCTGTATAGGGTTTCCGAGGCTGTAAATCTTTACAGGAGCAGAAAGCCTCACCTTTCTCCTGCAGAACGGCTGGTAGTTTCGAACTGCTGACCTTGAGGTTAGCAACCCAACTTGTAACCACTACGCTACCAGAGCTGCTAGTTATAAGTGTGCAGCTCCTAACAGGCTAGCAAGTGGAACCCACTTCATGGTTCCATGGGCTCTTTGTGTTGTTGTTAAGTAGTAGCCAGTGGATTCCAACCCAGTGTGATCCTGTGTAGGGTTTAGGAGGAGCAGCTAGTAGATTTGAACTACCAACCTTTCAGTCTAGTCCAATGCGATTGTTGCTATGTTAAGTGCTGTTGAGTCAGGTTCTGACCTATAGCCACCCTGTATAGGGATTCCAAGGAACAGCTGATGAGCTTGAAGTACAGGCTTCTTGCTTCAAAGTGGACTTTGCAGTCCAATGCATTAACCGACAGTACCACACCAGTAATCCAGTTCAATGCAGTTGTTGTTGTTGTTGTTAAGTACCGTGGAGTCGGTTCCGACTCATAGTGACCCTGCACAGCGTTTCCGAGGCTGTAAATCTTTACGGGAGCAGAATGCCTCATCTTTCACCCATGGAGTGGCTGGTAGTTTCAAACTGCAAATCTTGAGGTTGGCAGCCTGACTCATAACCACTACGCTATCAGAGCTCCTTAGTCCAATGCAGTTGTTGTTGTTGTTGTTGTTATGTGCCGTGGAGTCGATTCCGACTCATAG